TTTTTCTAAGTTGTTGGTTTCTTTCTGAGGTTGATATTCATTACACAATTATTATTCTTATCATGGATCAAAACTTTTCACTAAGTGTTCACTTCTTTTCTCTCTTCTTTCCCTCTAAATAAATATTAATAATAATAATAATTTATTCTCAAATAACAGTTTGTTACATGAGGCATGTCAGTTTACAGGCAAGATCAAATCGATACAAATGATGCAATATCCACTTTAGTAAATTACACAGCTGGGTTGATAATTTATAAGATATGAATGTAGATGGTTTTAATCAGTATCACAGTTTGCGCGCTTCACGAAAGTTGCGTTGCGAATGTGCAACTGATGGTCAAGGATAGGTCCATTGAAGGTGAGAGCTTCTAAATGTCGCAACCTTATGTCCCTTTGGGATGTCTAGTGCTTTGAGGATGGTGCAGGATAAAATCTTTCGTTCCATATCACAGGGGGGCTGAAAGAGGGAGCAAGTAAAGGAAAGGACGAGAGGCAGAATAGCCAATATTCATGCAGAAATGTTTAATGTATGATTACTCAGTCTAATTTTCTTTTATTAAGGTATTTGTTAAGAAAGAGCATTTAATAGGTTAAAGAAAATAAGTGTTAACAAGGTGTGAGTGGACATACAACTGACAAATGGAGGCGATTCGGAAAGGAGCTGAGAGTATGGGATTATGTGTGGTTATAAAATAAAATATGGTGCTAGAAACAGTATTGTGATATACAATTGGCTGTCTTTTTTTATCGAAGCAATTGTAGCCCTTTTCATTTTTTTTGTATTATTATTATTTTTCAGGTATCATAGGGTCTTGAGTAGGCTTCGTATATTAGCGTATATTTGCTTGTAGTAGGATTACTGGGTAGGAAGTGAAACCAATTCAACGTTCGTAACACGATTTAAAGAGGTATTTTGCGTGATAAATCAGCTTCAATACCATAAGTTCGTGACATCCCACTAAACCATAAGGAGCCGTAATTAAACAAAATGTTATTCTTAAGATTGCGAAGTTTGTAATTAAAACAATAACTTGTGTTACATTTAAATTAACTTCTCAGACCCGTTTTATCTTCACTATGCATATATAACTCATACATATTGATATTTTATTATCCTTTTCATTTAATTGTAACTTTCATAGCATCACTCTAAACTATAACTGCACAAACATTTATTCTAGCGTCATATCTTGCTGCAATTATAAGTTATTTTTTCTTAATTATTGATATTTCAGAGCCATCTAACCGTCTTTTATTTTACCAGGGTGTTACGTAGTGAATACTGAAAAGAAATAGCGTAGAATGAAAATCTCGATTCATCGTATTTGTGGTCAGTTGGTTATATTTTACAGTCATCTTGGAAAATAAAAACAGTGAAAATTGTGGTGCACGTCGAAACACATTCGTAGTTACGTATTCACAATGATGATTTCACAGGTATTCAGTGTATGACAACGCTTCTACCAGTAACACCTTCTAATGTATTTCGTTCCCACCCAGAGAAATCAAAAGACAGAGTCGAGGAGATCGGAAGAGTATATTTGGCGATGACCAATATATCGGAATTCTCTGATCTAATCTGGCTAGCGATTGCGGTTGATGTTGAGCACGGCGTTACCACACGTGATCTGGTGCGGATGCCTGACCGAGCGCCTTCAACTAGATGAGTCCACTAAAACATATGGTCAGCATCCAATGTCGAAAACTTACAGAGCTATTTATTTTGGGGATTTATTTACCGCTACAACAATAAGCTTACGATAAAAAACCCAATATATATGAGACAGCGAAAAAAACATTACACAAAGAGGTCTCCTAGGACTTTTTGTAAGAAAGCACATATTTAATCACATTTAGAAGTCAGTTTTATTGGTTTGCATGCTTTTAAAGCATTAGAAGATCTGAGAATGTAATTAGCTACCTGTATAACACGAAAAATGAGTCCAAAACTAATGTATTTGCTTTTCAGCAGTAAGTGTTCAAGTGTTCTGGAAACAACAGAGTCCTTCCAAAGTTAATCGTTTTAGACTGGTTATCGGATACAATCCACGTTTCGTCGTGACCACTAACTATTGAAGGTTTGATCTAAGTTGTGCGCACTGTGTCGTTCGACTGCTTAGTGGGAAAGCCAATACAGATGCAGTCGAATTCTGTGTAAGGGAATCTTAGCCGACCGATGTTGATGTCACCTTCTATTTCGTTCTAATCAATAGTACGATACTAAGGTTCGCGGTGAACAATTTTATATTGTATTTCGTACGCAGCTTCGAGTTTGTGGATTAATGAATCGTGACGTACGAAAATGTATGTACCAAGTCGTAAGACTGGTTAACCCTATGGTATTGTAGCGGGTCCATAACTTTGATTGGCACTGATACTTTCGTAACAACGAAAGCCCAGCGTATGGGTCTGCACTAGCCGTTTTACCTTAATTGGTGGTCGGTTTTCCATTTTCAGCCTGTAACTTGAAGACCCTATCTTGTAGACTGTTATATGCATCGGCGGGAAGTACGTTTACTTTCAAGCCAGTAACGAATAGATGACAAACTCTTGTCAGAACATCGGTAATGGATAAAAGACGGCTATGTTCACAGGCTATCGTTGTCATTAGTATGTGTCAGTAGGGAAATTTCGCGAAATGTTTGTCGTGATGGAAGGTTACGTTAAACGTGAGGCGGAAATTCAAGTTGGTTGCTATGGCATCCATCTGGTTCAAGTGGTTCAAATGGATCAAATGGTTGTGGACGGAATAGAAGAAGCTTTCGCTTAACACGCTTCCGTATCTAGTAGCAGGAGATCACCAAATCCTCCGGGCAGGAACCTAGGTATGTTAGCAATAAAAGAGGAAAAGAAATTAATAAACCATAGTGTGATACTATCCTTAGTCCTTAAGAATAGATCAAGTTGCATCTTAAAGGACTCCTGGGAAGTTGCTTTGACCAACTCGGCCGGCAGCGAATTCCATCTTTTAATAAGGACGTTGCGAAATGTCTGAGCTCTAACTGCGGCTATTTTGTAATGAAATATTCTGATAGCTTATTCGAGCGGTTACGTTATGAGAGCCAAAGTTTATTGATGGGCCATTTGAACCATTTAAACTAAAAGTGTAGTAATTTGAGAAAGGTTTTCAACAATCCTAGTTCAGTATGTTGGTTGTTTCCATAACCTTTTGTGAGTCTATTGCGTTTACTAGTGCTCAGAGGAAAGAAATCTCCGACAGTCTAATAGTATATTTTATTCAAGCTTTGAAATGTTGAGAAATCAGAGAGACCTTCTATCTCCTTCCACATCTTAATACTTTCTGGATATAGGGTTGTTTGAGAATCTAAGGTGCATCCTGGGTATTGGAAGGATGGAGCCTGGTGATACTCCTCTTTACAGCCGGAAAAAAATTAGACGAACTCTTATGACTTGTAATCTGATATGTATCAGGTAAAATGCTCTTGACATACGTTCATTCATTCAACTTATGATGAGTTATGCACAGCTTCTAAAAGACCTATAAATCTTTAACACTACTCACTTTGCACTTAGCTATATTTATTGAGAAACCGTCTGTTACGACTCCTAAATCCTTATAATCAATAATCTTGTATAAAGGGGGTTCGTTTATTGTATTGTGATGTAGATTACTGTAATGAAAATTTAGGGGTACGATACTACATATCATTTACTACTAACGACGATCGATTTTTCCACTCAATTAGAGCATCCAAGTTTCCCTGTAACTCTATCTTACTTTTGCTGTTATTTATGCCCTACCAAGAGTATAATGTCATCACTAAACTATGGGGTTGATGATTTAGTAAACCAGATTCATAAAACAAATATAAATTAGAAAACGTACCTGTTAGTGGTGTAGCCGAACATAGCGAATTCCACAAACGACCTCCTAATGCGTTTGCCACAGTTATGACGACCAAGTTAGTGCAGAACTACTCGAAGGTTTCGACTTCATTGAGTACAATCGGGATAGTTAAGTTTTAGGTACAGCTTGGCCTTATTGTCATACCACTTGGTGCTCCAAGTATGTTAGGACATACGATTACAAAGTTAAACAGAGCGATGCTTAAACATGTTGCTAGCAAACTGCCTGATAAATCAAAATGTGTTTACAGTTAAACACATGAAAAATTATCCACCTAAATTTTAAAGATAAAGTCGCACGTATATTTGAAACATAGTTCGAGTGCGATGAAATCATTGATTGGCGAGTGCAAGGTAAGTAAGTTAATACAACTAATGATCTTATGTAGCTCTAACTAGTAAATTAACTCGATACTATATTATGCATACGAAATAGTCGTACATCAAGATCCATTGAACTGAGGAAAATTGAGTCAGTTTTTAGATTCGCTTATTGCTACTATGAACTCCTCGAAGTAGGAGCTCGTTATGTCGAAAACCACTGGCTAGAAATCTAAAATGATATAGTTCGCAATCGATAACAATAACTCAGTTTATATTGGATCATTCAAGTCTTGAAGATTGCACATCTCGTTACACAAATTCCCACAAGTATAATTACAAGCTCAAAGCATTCTCGCTATATTATCTGAGGCATTAGTGGTGAGACATCTTTCATATAATTTCTTGAACACTCATAGTCTAGAAAAGTATTCTTTTTAACAAAACAAATCAATTCACGATCACTTTGGGTCGTATGGACTTTTATCAAATGCAAAGTAAACATATGTATCTTGCTAGTTAATATGACAGATATAAGTTTATAAAAAACAGACGTACTAGATCGTTAATTTACAACTTAATTTTAACCTCTTCAATAATTAGTACGTCGAATTTTGTGTGCATTTTATTCAAAACCAGTGGTTGAAAATTGGATAAATATTAGTCAAACTGTCTGTTTCCCTTTTTTGTTCTAAATTCTACGTAGTATTTTCATCAAATGCTTTGAAATCAAATCATTGATCAAATTTGCTTGTTAATTATTCATAACCTCACACTTATTTCGTCTCATTGAAACAAAACTTTGATTTTAGTAACAAAACATTAGAATTGACCAGTTCTTTTTGTCATTAAAAGAGAAGAATGATAAAGAGAGTATTTAAAACCATACTTTTGTAGGTGACATTTTTGTAAAAGATAATATCAATAAAAGTAGATATGTATTAAAAATAACTTCATAAATCATGAATCAAAGTTTGTTAGAGAAATTTGTACATAACTATGAGTTAAAATTAAAAGAAGTGTATAGGTGAGTTGGAATACTTTTCGAAAAATTAATATACCTTATATTTCAGAAACTGTGATACATATCGCCTTACTGAGTATAATGCAGCAGTCAAAATCCAAGCATGGTTTCGTGGTATTCGAATACGGTGCTACTTAAAGTTGGTTAAATATATGTTACTATGTTTAATATAAGTGATGTCGTAACATCATTAGTCAGTCTACATTTTATTGTATTGCTTTTATTTGAAATCGATGTTAAGGTTTCAGGAAAATAAAAACACTTGTCAACTTTTAGAATAGATGAGTTTTGTCTTGCAGGGGAATCAAAGACAAGGCTTTTGTTCTGTTTGAGTCTCGTCAGCTAGATGCAATCACATCCCAGTGTTGATGGTTACGATAAAACTCAAACGTAGTAACCTTCACTCGAAACGCCTACACTATGGTGACCAATCAAGATCGATACAAACGTTTTCAACTGCTATGATACTTCTGATGTTATTGGAATTGGTTTGAATTATGCCATTATTAATGTTCAGGACTGGGTCATGATTAGTCTTAGCGTAAGTGTGCCCTCAGTAGGTTATCTTCATATGGCTATTTTGTCACAAGTTTTCAGAATTGATTGATTATAGTTTACAGCAGAATCCAGAAGTCACATTTCATCCTATCACAATTAGGATTGACCAAAATTCAGTTTTGAATATAAACGAAGGGACAATTCAAATACTTTCAAATAATTTGTCAACTATTATAAATTCAAAATAAGACAGTTAGAGTTAGAAAAAGACTATGATTTAGTAAGTACATTCATTTAAAGTGATTGGTGCAGATCACTCGAAACTAATTATCTTCAAGTATCTGAAACAGACTCTTATTATTAGTACAACGACGGTCTGCTTGAATAACTGGGCTACTTGTTCCTTCCATCTAGATATCTCGAAAAGTTATTTTCTATTCTGTTAAAGCACATCATTATGTTTATTAATCGCATAACTAGTCAAGGGGTGGATATGAAAAAATTTCAGGACAAAATTTAAACATCCGTCGTCAGGATCGACCAAGAAATAAGAAAAGTTATGGCAGCGTTGCAGCTACATTTTTAAACGTGAACTAGTGCCGATCTATCTTTACATGTTTTAAGTTTCCTAATGACTTTATCGACTACCCAACTTTAAGTTGCCGTCCAAAAACTTGAATCAATACAATTATGTTTATGTGTGTTTGATGTGCTTTTCTGGACTATACTTCTGCTTTTGACTTCATTTCAAGACGCCGTCTACCAAATAAGTTAGTCAGCGTCAACACAGACAGCTGGCTGACCAACTGGCTATGTTCCTACTTCCATGAAAGAGAATACTACGCTGTGTTGGAAGGAGAGCGTTCGAAATCCCTACTGTCTCAAGCAGGTGTGCCACAAGGAGCTGTTCTTTCCTCACTTACATTAATAACCGACATTTTTACTTTCATCTAGTTCTGTAGACTCTGAGTCTGTCTCAACAATTCTTGTAGAGCTCTCCGAATTTGTAATCGTTTTTTCCATTGATTTGGATACTTAGTGTTATGACTTTAAGTCCGGCTTTTTATCACATGATTTATCCACCAATCAAAATACGACTTTTACAATCTTCGCACTGTGTCTAACCAATAACGTTCAACCGGTATCGGCAGTCTAGCATCTTCATTGGTCCTATGTCCGCCTAGCCCGTCCACTTGAGTCCAGAACACCGACACCAGCTTCCACCATGCGAATCGAATCGAATCATTTATTTCAGACATACTGGATTTATATATAAACCAAACAGACCGCAACGCACCATAAAATAGGAAATAAAATTTGTACACAATAAAGCCAAAAAGTGTTTGTGAATGTAGGAGGCAGTAGTCAATAAACTTAAGAACAGTAAATCGTACAATAATCAATTATAAGTCAAAATAAAGCTTATAATAAGAGGAATATAAATATACATAATCTAATTATTAAATAGTTATACCATAAGAATTTATAGATAATATTAGTCAATTAATATGTCTCAGTAGTTACTTGTGATTTAATCTTCGCTCGGATATAACACTTAGTATTGAACGATTTATGACTGAAATTAAGAGAATCCTTTGCCATTTTGAAATTTTAATAGAAATATCCTTGTGTAGCGGTTCGCGTCTAGACAGAAGGTACTTTGTGTACAAGGGAAGCAAGCAAATTACAGTGAGTGACGAGAGTTGGGAAAGAAGAACGAAAGAAAAGGGTGATATGACGACCCACCTAGCGCACACAATGCACTTTCATCTAATAACAGATGCAATTGATAGTCATGAGAGGTAATACAAGCCTCATGTTAAGGGAATCTTGGAATCCGAGCGAGAAGCAGATAGTTCAACTTGCGACACCTGAGTTTTAATCTGAAATAAGAAGACAGCTATCACGATAATATCACCCATTGAATGTTGGGTTTAGCTTTTATATAAATTATTGACAACAAATGTCGTCTATCTGTGACATTAAATAGTTCTAATTTCAACGTAAGCCAGTTTTTTTCTTACTTTCATGAACAACTCTAACAGTCAGGCTGCATTTCTTATGCAAAGATACTTTATGGTGTATAGATGGATCAAGCGAGCCGACTGACTTTGTAAATCTGGTTTAAAACTAAACTAGTAAATACGGATCAATGAGTTCATACCTCACGGTCAAAATAGATGACTCAAAGTCATGAATAATACAAGGTATGTACTTTTAAGAAGTACCGAGCTAGGGAAAGGGATTTTCAGTGCTACTCAATTTTTGTATGTCTTTGCTTGGTTTCAAATCGTAACAAGAACCCCATTCAAACGACACAAGATCTGTAAAAACTTTTAGAGATTTTCAGAGGCTACATTGTGAAATCATGAACTGTCAAACAAACTAAGATGAAATAGCAAGCAACCTGTGGCACAGGATGACGAGTGAGGTTTTCGGTGTATCATATTATCTCTACTGTTCACATTATTGATGTGTCAATGAGAATAAACAGATTTCCTTGAGTATCTATTTGGGGCCTGTGAGATCCGATAGTAAGACAGGAGAGCAAATGCCTTGATCTAGTCTGAGTATTGATTAGTTCGCCTAGACTTTCTATCCGTTACCAATGATCTTCCAGTAATCAATGATACGTTAAATGCGAAGTAACACCCAATTGTAACAATAAATAATAATTGGTCCGGAGTGCAGCTTTCTGCGCTTGCTCACCCTCTAGCCGAATAGAGAACAACTCACCAAGCAGATATTGTCTAACTATGCTAACTATGATAGAACCATTTTAACTTAGCAAATATCAATAGAGGAGTCCCACAACAGGACGAAACGGTGGTTCAGTGATTCCAAGTTTTCCATGGTGGTCTAGAATTAGTTTATCAGAATACTTTCACTTATTATCAAATGTTTAAAAGAATATCTTTCTTTATAAACTTCCTTTTATTTATAGACTTCTCGAAAAATGTACAATCATCATTCAAAAAACTTGGAGAGGCTATCTAGGCCGTAAACAATATCGACTTATATTATCTAAAACTGTTATAGAATATCGACGAAATAAATTTAGTAAGGCTGCAGCAAAAGTAATCCAGTTCATTCTGTTTAAGATCAATGATTTATCTGTTTATTTTTATTCTATGATAGATTCAAAGTGCATGGAAAGGTTATTTAACCCGTAAATATATATTCAACTTTTATTCACGTAAAGTTTATCTATCTGCACTAGTTGATGTAGGGGAATTTGTCAAGTAAGAATTTTGATCATTACCGAATATTTTACTTGCGAATTAAATGTATGCATGATATCTGAAGTCTGTGCTGATGATGTCGTTCAGAAGGACGATGAAAGCTCCATGACCAAACCATCTAGCTCAGAGGACAAAAATTCATCCAAAAAAAACTAAATGTATGCAAATATTTCGTATCATGAACTGAACTCCATCTGACAATCACTGAAATAATAAAATATTGATTACTAACTTAATGATTTAAATGTAGCACATTCATCATGATACCCCAATTATCATGAACTAATCGCTAGTGATGTGAATTTCAGAAGAGTCTAATAGTATGGCGAAACCACTATCTAGTACTGATTGATTTAAATGGTTGTCTAATTAGAGTCAGGCCATGATATTCGTAATTTTTAAGTAATTAATTCTCGATAATGCTCACCAAATATTTCAAATAATAAACTAGAAATCAATTGTCTGAATATGAAAAAGAAATGAAATATTTGGAATGTAAAGAAAAGCAAGAAAAAGAACGGGACAGAATAATTAATTGGGCAAAATCACACCATTTTCTGGTTTCAACATGTTGTCAACCAGGAATATATAAAAATCCAATGGATAAAACGTAAGTAAATCATGATATGCTATGATATTACTTCTGCCTTATAAGTAGCATGGTTATATTCAATGAATGAAAATAAGTTCGTGTTTAAACTATGAAGATACAGCAATTTCCACAAAACCCTATAGTGATGATAATCATATGCTCGCTAATGACTCATTTCAAAATGCAACTCCTGAAGTTCTACTGAGAAGCCGTGACCGGTAAAGTTCAACTATATTGAATGTGAGACAGTTATTTACCCTAAGCAATGGATAAGGGTTTAGTAATTTCGTGAATTTATTAAACTTAGACATTAACACCCGGCTTAGTCGTCTATAGATCAAGAGTTCGAGCGCTAGATGAAAGGTCTTGAGTTCGATCCACGGAGTTGAGATCATGAATTTTCATTGCTCAGTTATCGTATTTAGACAAAATGGCCGTTCAGTGCTTTTTGGTTTTTAATAGTAATCTAATTCACATCAGTTTGTGATTTAAACTATAAATTTATTTATTTATTTATTTATTTGAACACATAAATATTGGTACAAGAGAGCGCCAATATATATGCGCCACACAAAACAATGGGAATTCGAAGAGAAGTAGAAAGAAAAAAAAAGAAGAAAAAAAAACTAAGGAACGCAAAAGAAAGAGAGAGTAATGACGAAGAGGTACAATCAGAAGAAATCTTTCAGTTAAGGAAGATACAACCACTTTTTATGAAGAAAGTAAAAGAAGGTTACAGCAGGATCGCCACTGGCTTCTATTCTGAGCCATATCTGATAACGTCTCTAGCCACTGTGTAGCACCATCTCTCGGACCCCAGCCAGGGAGTCGTGAAGGACCAACACAAGCCAGTCCTTTGCAGCTTTCTTTCATGCCACGACACCATGTCATGCACTGACCACCTCTCCGCTTCTTCCAACCAGTCCCAGAGTCGGCAAATAATGCACGACGTGGAATTCTCTGGGACGACATTCGGAGAACATGTCCAAGCCACCGAAGTCGGTGTTTCAAGATGGTGACACCAATTGAGTTATCATCTCTGTGCCCGAACACACGATGCCGAACCTCTGCATTACTGACTTGGTGTTGCCACTGAATGTCAGCAATCCTTCGGAGACAGCGATGATCGAACACAGAGAGTCGTCTAACGTCCTCAACTCGGAGAGGCCAGGTTTCACAAGCATAGAGCAAAACTGCTCTCACCGACGCGTTGTAGATCCGGCCTTTTACAGCCAGACTAACATCACGAAGGCGCCAAAGGTGGCCCAGATTGGCATAAGCCGCTCTGGCTTTCACTATTCGTGCATTGATCTCATCACTCACACCCCCACCAGCACTTATGCAGCTACCCAGATACACGAACTTCTCGACTACGTCTATCTGCTCACCATCCAGGGTGAGTACAGGATTGGAATCCTGGCAGTCTTGTAGAAGTACTTTGCACTTCGAAGGTGCAAAGTACATACCATACCTACGGACATTGATTGCCAACTGATTAAGTGCGGATTGCATGCCTTGGGCATTATCGCACAGTAAGACAATATCGTCCGCATACTCAAGGTCGAGAAGTCTTTCTCCAGGCAACAGATCCACACCACCATTACTTACATTCATCAGAGCTGTTTCCAGAATGTCATCGATGGCAATGTTGAAGAGGAATGGTGAGATTGGGCAACCCTGCCTAACCCCACTGCTCGAATGGAACAATGGAGAGAGGTGGTTGTATGCCCTCACTCTGCCTGAGGTGTTTTTATACAGGGCTTTCAGGATGTTAATAAACTTCTCAGGCACACCCTTCTTCAATAGACAATCCCAGAGAACAGTCCTATCCAACGAATCGAAGGTAGCCCTGATGTCAAGAAACACTACGATTGTTGGCCTTTGAAAAGTATGGCGGTGTTCTAACATTTGGCGGAGGGTGAAGATATGATCAATACATCCTCGACCAGAACGAAACCCAGCCTGCTCCTCGCGAGCTAATCTTTCTCGGGTTTTGAACAACCTACGAAGAATGACGGAAGCCAATAGCTTGGACGCAATCGGAAGTAAACTTATCCCCCGATAGTTGTTACAAGAACGACGTAAACCCTTTTTAAAGATAGGGACAACTATCGACTCATTCCATGACGTTGGTACACTCTCTAGTTCCCAAACCTTTGTAAACAACGTCGTCAATTCCTTAGTCAAAAAGTCACCACCATCTTTAAAAAGAGCCGGAGGTAAGTCATCTGGGCCAGGTGATTTGTAACGCTTCAAGAGTTGGAGTTCCTTGCGGACTTCCTCCTCATTTGGTGGATCAGTCGTCACCGGCCATGGAGGGCAGGACAGTCTGACCGATGTTGCCGGAGCAGCAGGCCAGTTGAACTGCCCTTCGAAAAATTCTGCCCATCGTCCAAGACGTCGATGGATGTTAGTGATTGGCATCCCATCACCCTCGCAGATTGTGTCACTCACACCAGACTTCTTGCTGCCAGTGGCTCGGATGAGTTGGAAGAGCTTCCGGTAGTTACCAGATGCAGCTGCTGCTTCCAGCTCATTAGCACGCATCGACCACCAGGCTTCTCGGTCCTTACGCAAGCTTTGCCCGATTTCCTTACGTAAAATCCTTCGTTTATGGTCAAACTCACGGTTACCCGGAGTAGACCGACGGGCTTCAATGAGTTGTAAGGAACCAGAAGAAACCCAGTGCTTAAAAGCGGGACGTTTCGCAAACCCACAACTGACTGTTCCCGCCATTTTCATGGCGTCATGCAATTGCAACCAGTGCTCATCTATACTTTTCGGTGGAGTGGTAGTTAGCCTAGAGGCTAGCTCGGTTCGATACTTATTTGTAACAGAAGTTGCAACCAGCTTGCTAACATCAATCCGTTGATGGCGTTCACTTCGTTGTCCACTGAAAAGTAAGGCAAGATTGGCGCAGACCAAGGCATGGTCAGAGTCCAGATAGGTACTCCAAAAGGAGCGGCAGTCTTGTACACAACCACGCCAGCGGTAGCTGATCGCGATGTGATCAATCTGAGTCCAGGCTTGAGATGCAGAGAAAGGACGCCAGGTGGCACATCGGCGATGACTGTGCCGAAAGTTAGTGCTAGCCAGAAACAGGTTGTGGTCTGTGCAAAGTTGCAGTAGACGGTCCCCGTTATCTGACCTGCGATCAACGAGTCCCCATCGGCCACCTAAACGACTCTCTTCTGTGCCTAGACGCCCGACCTGAGCATTCAAGTCTCCGGCTAGTACTACAATATCTGTCGAACGCACTTTCTGGAGAAGAACTGATAACTGGTGGTAAAACTCATCCTTGATTGCATCCGGGCTGCAATCTGTCGGGGCATAGGCGGAGATGACGAAAAGACATCGTTTCTCACGCCGATTTCTTCTCACTTTGATGGAACTTTCTAATCTAACAGCACATAACCGACTGTTAATGGGGATCCAATCGACTAGTGCTGCCTCAGCTCTAGCGCTTAGTGCGACACCAACGCCAGCAAGACCAGACGAAGATGCCACAGGGTCCCCGGATAAGCGCATGTAAAACAAGCTTTTCGAAGCGACAGATGGAGATCGAATTTGTAGTACTTCGCCAGAGTCTTGAATACGGGTCTCGGATAGACAACACACGTCGATATTAAGACTTTCCAAAGACATAGCCAGCCCTATCTGTTGTCCGACCTGCATAAATGTGCGAACGTTGAAGGCAGCCAGTTTGAATGGTGCACGTGGTTTCAGAAAATCTGCTTCAGTCCTCGTATTCGGTGGTAACATACAATTTTCAACCGGACAGTGACTCGAGAACGTTTAGATACAGTCGGAATTCCACCAAAGACGAGCCGCTGTATAAGTATAAAAGAAGGTGAATAATGTGGAAAATAATAATAATAATAATAACCATAATGACAATAATAGTAGTAATAATAATATTAGTATTAATAATGACAATAATTGTAGTGATCATAATTTGAATCAATTGATTGTTTTTCAAAGCGACAAAGGTAATTTCCATGGACATAGAGTTCATCATTTGTGTGTGGGCTGTGATACTGCCCGGGTGCCCAAACCGAAGCAGGTGGTTATCTTAGGGGGCCACTCCCCGAGCCTTTGACCTAAAGGTCTAACCCACAAGGCAGTGGAGCATCGTAAGGAGATGCAGTCCCATGGTAGCCGGTGACCAACGATTGGTTCATACGCCATTCGTTCCCGCAGGATACTGGAGCCCATGTGCACCATTGATTTGGAATCCGGTTAAAGCGCCGGACATTCGCTTTTCGTCCTCTCATTTTCGTAAACAACACCCCCGCCACGAGAAGGCAATGAGTAGGACTTCCCTGGCAGAGGCTGTATACGCGTGGCCGTGTGAGAGTATTTCGAGAGGGAGAGCGGACTCTCCCCACTCTCGGCCGTACCAGGGCATTCAGGGGGCTAAACTATAAATATTCACTAATTATTCTTAACGTCATGAAGATACCATTAGGACTGCATTCCTTCTATTATGATTACTTGGCACCAAGCCTTGAGGCTAGTACGCGTGGGTTCGAAATGGGGTAGAGAGAAGAAAACTATTCTATCACCTGATTGGCTGACAAGCACGCGAATGAGAGAAGACAAAACAACTGGAACATTTACTCGATCTATTCCCGATATCCTGATTTCATTCTGATTTCAGATTAGTGTAAGAACGTACATGAATAAACAGGTGACTAACCCGACCACAACGTACGATAATTTGGGAAAATACAATTATTTCTAAAGCTGGGAATTAAGGTAGTAAAATAGGGTGCAAAATATTATGTTTAAATTACAATAGCTTCAAAACAGAAAAGGGTATGACAATGAATCATACATCGAACGAAAGCTTATGTTCTGTAGAATAGATATGGGACAAAAATAAATGGCAGTCTTGTACAAGCTTTGAATAAAATGGAATAACGTCCCGAAAAATAGCTTTCGTAGCTTGTCATAGCTTCTTGTTTTACTGTTCATATCGCTTACATAATTATTTCTCAACAATTTTTTTTATTAAAACGAAAACCAAAAACAAAAAAAATCAACTACATTTTCATCTTGGTAATAGAATAAATGACAAAGAGAAGCTTCTATTATCAGTAGTTCGTCAAGAATTAATTAAAACTAACAATAAACAAGAAAAGAAATCGTCGATAAAACAAACATTCCATCAAATGAATTCAATGAATAAAGAATTGCCAAAAATTAAAGGCCCATTTAAAAATCCAGAAGAAGTGAAAAAATGGATAAATAAACCAATAAATTTATCATTACGTGTATCAACAGATTATTTTTCATTAGAAAAATCTCAACAAATTTGGAAATCTAAAGAATGGAGTAATAGATTACATGATAATAAGTAAGTTACAAAGATTATTTTTCTAACTAGACATAGTTGATAAGTTTTGCAAATTGAACGGTATATTCGTTTCTTAAATTATTCTGTAACCTTTAAGCTAGAACTATACAGCGATCTGAACAACAAGAGAGAAGATGAAAAGTATGTGGGAAACACTTTACTTCAATGTTCAGAAAATATAGGATTTTTATAATATTTTTAAATGTCCTTGGGTTGCTTGAAGGTTCTGGAATGCTATTAAACATAGTAGCAGTATAGCAATCAGCCAATCAGAACCTCTACATATGACGTCTCACTTCCTTGATATTTTTGGCTAAAACTTCAAGTGAACGCTGATTGGATGAAATGCTTCTTAGTTTTTCTTGACCATTGGTTGTTTTTTGCAAGCAGTTTTCTGGATCACTCCAACAATAGTAATGATGTATCGCATCATGTTCCTTATTTTTCTCTTTCCAAATTTATTTCACTGAATTATACTCCTCAAATAACATCTTCAAACCGTAATGTTTCCGATTACTGCTTATACTTTTACTATCTCTACCACTATGGAATTTGAATCAACAAATACATCTCTGTGCTAATGTGGTGTGGCAACTCGAATTGATTTAAGTACGTATGAAGTTCTATGTTGTTGCTGACTGACTGAGTGATGTATCAAACGACTTTGATAAGTTCATCAAGTGGAAAAAATGAATGGATTTACATATATAAGTAATTTCAGTTGAAGTACAATTAAATCCGAACTTTATAAGAAAGTTATACAAGATGATTCAAGTTTATTTCAAGCAAAGAATGTCAGTTCTTAAAATTACTGTAAATATAACCAGTTCGAAATCTATGACAAGAGTTCCGTATCTTTTTCCTTCAACAATGTTACTATTATAAACACAATGTAAATATATTGAAGATAACGATCAAATGTAAGTAAATGAGTTATCAAGTCAATTGAATTTAAATTCGTACTTGTCAATCGACCAATGATAAACAACATAGAATATGAGATATATTTCCATCTTTTCTGGTTATCACACCACACTACACCGCGAAATCGAATTGTCGTGACAAATGCTGAATTATTAAAAGTCGTAACAGTATCAGTGTTATTAGAAAAGATTAGGAGACAAGACAAGGCTAGATGGAGAACTACGAAAGCCATCACCCAGAAGATACAAGTGTTTATTAACAGCTGTCTACGCAAAATACTTCGGATCCGTTGGCCAGACACTATCAGCAACAAGCTACTATGGGAGAGAACAAATCGGATCCCAGCGAAGGAAGAAATCAGGAAGAAGCGCTGCAAGTGGATAGGAAATACATTGAAGAAAGCACCCAAATAAGCTACAAGGCAAGTTCTCACATGGAATCCTTAAGGCCAAAGGAAAAGAGGAAGACCAAAGAACACATTACGTTGAGAAATGGTGACATGAGAAAATTTAACAGAAATTGGATAGAACTAGAAAAGAAGGCCTAGGACAGAGTGGGTTGGAGAATGCTGGTCAGCGGCCTATGCCCCATTGTCAGTAAGTAAGCAAGTAAGATGACAATATCACTGGAGAAGAAAGAATTCGTGAAGTATAAAATATAAGCTAATTTTGAAACTTCAGATCTAAGGAAAAATAAAAATGGATACTTCTACATCATTTTGATCGATTTTAATTCTTGTTACACATTTTCAACTATTGACTGAAATAATTGTGCAAGACCCAATCAAGTAGTCTGTAAATGGAATGCTAATGATTTATAGTCGTGTCTACATCATGAAACAATAAGTTCACGAACAACATAGCCTGTTATACAATATTCACAAGATAAAAAATCAACACACTTAAGCATTTTGAGCACTAGCTGAGTTAACATTATCTGTCGTACATTTACACAAACTATCAAATTATATATATATTACAATTTAAACGTCCTGACTAGAATCTATACCTGATTCTTTAAGAAAATATTGGACAACTATGAATATTTGATAGTTATCACTTATCAGCAGATCATATTGAACATAGCTTATGATCCTTGTTTACTCCGTCAATTGGCTTCCAAGTACCCTATATATATAGGCGGAAGGTTTCTTTATTGAACTATTAGTTAGATAAAATGACTTGACACCATTCTATATATTCTTATGTTAATTTACATTTTTTAAATTGTTCATTGAATTAGTTTCTACACTGGTCATCCACCATCAACACCATATGAACGTTCATTATGGACAACATCTGTGTACGGTTCAATACCATATGGTACAAAACATTTTCGTGCATCAGAAGATGAAAATAATTCAGCAATACATAAACAACCAAAATTTCGTAATATATTACCACCGATTCCATTATTTGATAAATTTAATAGAGAGTACATACCAGGTTATGCAACAGGATGATTGTATAAAAGTATGTGTAACAGTAGTCTTGATATGAACTAATCGACTGAAGTTTCCTTCCAAAAAAAATAATAAAATGATTGAAATTCTAAATATCTTTTTCAATTCCTCAATTAGAACATGTAATCATAGGTGATATTGTTCTGATGTACAATTCACTAAAACTACTTAATGCCAGCGTATTATGTTATGATAGTCAAAATATTTTGAGAATAGAGTTAGTTGTTTACTCCTACATCTTATGTTATATGTGATTGATGTGTGGGCAAGAATGATAATGATTGATTGTTTGCTTAGTCAGAAATGTCGATAGTCTGACAGGTGTCAGATGAGTTATATATTCCCCTATCCTTATTATTATGACTCATTATTAATTGTTCATTGTTGTTGAATTGTGTCGGGTTTTTGGTGTGAAAATATATATATACGTTGTAGTCAGGCTGATCACGTGTTTTTGATCGGAGTTATGTTGAAGTCTTGTTGAATAGACGCTAGGAGGGAATCTAGTGTAGATATTCATCTAAGGTAAATTAATGTCCCATACATGTAAACGTGGAAAACCAACCGTTATAACTTTAGACTAAGTTAAACCGAGCGTTATGACAGTGATAATTGGTTTATTCTCTGCAGTTGCTATGTTTTAAGATTTGTAGAGATTTTATAGACCTATGATGCAAAAAATATTTATAAAGACTAAAAAACTGATTTTCATCCCCGAAAAGTTGTTTATATAGGTTAAGGCTATTAGCTTACTGGTTTCTGTGTTTGATTTTGTGCTTAGTGACAAGTTTTGTACTTTTATATATACATTATTTTTAGAACTATCACTGTGATACTTCATTTGTATTGGTTAATTGAATCTTCTCATTGATGATTAGGACTGTAATTGATTAGTCCTAAGGTGAATGTCAACTCGGGGATGCAGGACGAAATGCTCGTCCTGAACTCCACTGCTAGCCAACGCCCATTTCTACCTATATCATTATTATAGTTTAATCCTAACCACGTATTCAGTTTCTTTTTTGCTTTCATAATGACAATTACCATACTTCCTATATCAAGGTGTATTTTTTTTAGAATTCGAACATGAAACAATAAATGTTCATTGTATACTAATTGACTACTTAATAGCAATCAATAATGTGTATATCTGATTCTAAGTATAAGTCTAATTTTATCAATGTCATTGGAATATTATCATAAATCTAAGTGAACTAATTATAATATTGGGTTAAGCCAACTCCAAACTTTTCAAGAAATATTGTAGCGAACGAGAACACAATTGGACACGATCGAATATATATGAACACAAAATTACAGAACATTATAGAAAAATCTGAGAACCATACAGTAAATAATTCGTTTGCAAAATATCAACCAATCGTCTCAGACATTGTTGTTTTTTTCGTTTCCACACCAATGATTCTCTGTTCTCTTTCTCCTTTTTTCAATCATCTTAACCTTCTGCCGCCAGGTATTTCACTTCCGATTTATGATACATACTACTTTTATCATCGACATCAGTAGCGCACGCCATAATATCACTTCTCTATTAGATGATAGTCGGAAGTAGTCAACAGGAAACCCTGGACCTAGACTTCACGCTAGTTAGCACTTGTCAGCAAGGCGTACTTGTAATCTCGAGGGTGACGGTGCTCCCTGACGGATTCGATCGCGTATCACCCAGCTTCACAGTCACAGACATTACCACTGAGCTATCTGAGCCACGACCGACCTCCTGTAGGACTGAGATGTAATCACATTTGATTGATCACTGGGTGGTGACCAATATCATGTGTGTCAAGTCCTTCTTAGTGCAGATCGAATGCTATCAACCAAATCACATAAAATTCAAATACTCAGTATCCTCAATTATTCTCACTAATTCTTAGTCAATATTATTGTGTATAATGAAATATCTGTTCAAACGAATAAATCTCAGTATATGAATTAACCAAAATCTAAGGATACATATTCCTTAAAAATGTTAATCACCTATACTACTAACGAATTCAATAGTTTCGAGTACAAATAATGGCTACACGGAGAAAAAATGAGAAAAATAACTGTTACACTTAGAAATAAATAATTTCCGATACTTAAAAAAGAAAAGCTTATCATCAAATTGATCACAGACAATAAATAAACTTTATGAAAATTAAGAGTTTTAACTCTTAATAATTTAGTTACCAAATGAGATTACTCAGTAATCAAGTGATAAGGAAAGAATAGAAATTTTGCTTTTCAATGAATTTATTTACGTAAACTATACATTTATATTCATCTTCCCCCATTCCTTCTTTATTCTTTGATTGTTACGTGATCTTATTTGATAAATAAATTTTCGGATGCGCACTGCTGAGGAGTCCCTAATAGGACGAAACGGCCGTCTAATGTTTCCAGGTTTTCCATGGTGGTATAGCTTTAATTGACACATAATCTCAACTATTGAAATTAATGTAATATCTACAAAACCCTTCTGATATAAATCAACATATGCTCACTAGTGACTGGCTTCAAGAGATATTTCCTGGAGTTGTAATGCATAGCACTGTCCAGCGGAGTTCAATCAGGTCTATTGTGAGATAGTAACTCACTGATGACAATGGTGGATGTGTCACGCGATTTCATGAATTAGTTGAAGTTAGATATTAACACCGTTGGATGCCAGCCGGCTCAGTGGTCTAATGATTAAGTGCTCGCGCGTG